CCGTTTCCAAAATTATTTGCACTGGCTAGGTCCACCAATGAGAGAGCTTAAGTGTCTTATCGATAATTATTTCATTTCATTTCTATCAATTGAAATCTATTCCTGTCTATATATATAACAGTCTATTCATGCCATATATCAATATGAATCTATTTGCATCTATCATATATCTATATCAGTCTATTCATGATATATATCAATATGAAGATATTTACATCTATCATATATCTATATCAGTCTATTAATGGTGTATATCAATATGTATCTATTTACATATATAATATATCTATATGCCATATATCAATATGAAGATATTTTCATCTATCATATATCTATATCAGTCTATTCATGTCGTATATCAATATGAATATATTTACATATATCTATATCAGTCTATTCATACCGTATATCAATATGAATCTATTTACATCTATAATATATCTATATCAGTCTATTCATGGCGTATATCACTATGTATCTATTTATATCTATCATATATCTATATCAGTCTATTCTTATTTATCTATTAGTATATAAAACCTGACAGAATATAGATGGCCACAAAGTATATGTCCTCTTTATAACTTCTGGCAATAAAATGAATTTAGGTTAAATTTAAGTAATAGACAAAAAAGTGAATTCAGGAAAAAATGGTAGCAGGTGAATGAGAGGAAAAATAAAACGACTAATTTTGTGCAATACTTCATTATACAAATTCACCTAAATGCAGCCCCCAACAAATTGTCTCATCACCTCTCAAGGGGAACTAATTATCAGAGATATATGATAAAAACAGTATGACAATTAATTCCTAAATTCCTTTAATCTGTCTTGAACTCTGCTTCCCCAGTTGCTAAAAGAGGAAGACAATAATCAGAATATAATATGTGCTTTTCCAGAGACCATGATTAATGTCTGCTCAGCTTATTTGCAGTATAATCCACAAATGGACACTGGATTGTGCAGGTGTCTGTAATAGGGATTGGCTGACAGATGGGTGTGTTTGAAAACAAGTAGTAGACGACCATCATCATCATCATCATCATCATCATTATTATATAATATGAAATGCTGATATCATGGATTAACATGAAAATAAAAGTTTTTCAGCTTGTTTTCCCATGTCTCATATTTATGTACTTGGTCTGATATTTCACATCAGTCATTTATTATTTTGAAGTGTAAAACTTGAAATAACATAACTTCTGGAAAGAATTAGTTTTGAAATGCAATAATCTTAAGTAAAAAACAAAAACAAATTGAAAATCTCAGTGAAAAGAATTGTTTAATACTACAACAGCTATACAAGAATATAAAATTATATTCTGTAAAAATTTTGTATTTTTTTAGAAAAAAAATTCCAAAAGTTCTCATAAAAAAATACTATAGAAAGTGATTATATCAGATATACTGTTGTGGGAGAGACAAAGACAATGAATATGAAAGAAGTAAAACATTTAAAGAATTTATTACAAGAAAACATTTAAACTCGAGAATGTGTTTGTATTCATGGAGATTGGCATTGGAGGAGTCCTAGAGAAATGTAATGGAAAGGGAAGAGAATGTGAATTTGTGCCCCTAGTGGGGGATGCTTTTCTCCACATGCAACCTATCAGGTCATTTCATAGATTCTGTCTGAAATAATATATATGTAATTTCAACCAAATTTTACAGTATTCAGAAATGGCAAATGATAATGATTGATAATCACATGAATTTAGAAACCTTCAACAATATAATTTCTTTTTACAGAATAATTTGACTAAATTACTCAAATTAGCCCTTCAAAGATGGAGGTGACAAAGGATCATAATGCTTTATGAGTTTAAAAAAGGGAAACTCTGCAACCAAAACAGCTCAGAATATTCAGTCAGCTTATGGAAAAGAATGTCTGAATGAAAGAATTTGCAGAAGATGTTTTGCCAAATTCGGAAGTGAAAATTTCAGCCTTGAAGTTCAGTTGAGTTTGATGATGGCATCATTTGAAGAAAATCCTGCAGTATCAGTTGAAGAATTGGCAATGAAGCTTTGTCTAAAACCATACAACTGTTCATCATCATCTTTAACAACTTGAAAAGGTTCATAAACTTGGAAAATGGGTGCGTCATGAATTGTCTGAATTCAACCACAAATCCCGAGCTGACATCTGCTCTTCTCTTCATTCTCTTGAACTCATCTCACCCTTTTTAGATAGACTTGTGACTAGTGATGAAAAATGGGTTTTTTATCAAAATGTTAAACGTTGTAGACAGTAGCTTGGAAATGGGAGAAAGAGGCCCAAACACAGCCAATAAGGGAACCTCATGTGCAGAAGGTTCTTCTCTCAATTTGGTGAGATTGAAAAGGAATGATTCACTTTGAGTTGCTACCAAATAATGCAATAATCAATGCTCATGTCTACTGTTAGCAATTAGAGTGTTTGAATGTGGCTTTGAAGAAAAAAAACTTGTTTAGGTGAATTGAAAAGGAGTAGTGTTTCATCAGGACAATGCACAACCCCACACTACAAAAATCACATGCCAGAAGATTGAAGAACTTAGTTGAGAAAGAGTTCTTCATTCACTTTATTCTTCCAACTTTGCTTCTTCAGACTACCATTTGTTCTGTAGTTTACAGAATCAATTGGATGGATTAATCTCAAAAGCTATGAAGAGGTCAAAACTGACATTTCAGAGTTCTTCTCTTCAAAATGGAAAGAGTTCTTTATTAGTAGGACTAAAAAGCTTGTAAGTAAATGGTAGGAAGTCATAGATAATCATGGAAACTGCATTGATTAATAAATTTCAATAAAATGTAAGATTTGATCACTTGTTCTTTATTATTCAAAATCCAGACAAAACTTATGGGATGACCTGATACATCTTAACATCACTGAGAAAAATAGGAAAAAGAGGATGACAGAGAATGTCAATGTCTTTTTAAGGGAAACGCCTGGATATAGTTGTAGACATCTATGGCAAGTGAGAGTTGTGTTGATAATCTCCAGCAGTCTGGTATATTTGTGTTTGTTTTAAAATTTGTTTTGAGTAGAGTGTGGTGTGTGTGTGACAAAAATTGGTGTGTAATTAGAGATATATGTTTTCTAATAATTGTATAAGTTTGGCTTTAATTTGTTATTTCTAACTATGTATAAATTGTGTTTTTCCACTACAGTACTTGTGTATAAGCTAACTTCCTGCACAGTGATGAATAATGCATGAATTTTAGCCCCACCAGAAAAAAATTACCTGTGTATAGTGCAACTAGTTACCAAAATATAACATTAAATTCTGTAAAAAGTTTGTATTTATTCAAAAAGATTTCAAAAAGTTCTCATAAAAAATACTATAGAAAGTCATTATACAGTATATATTCATGTGTAACTCAACTTCATGCATAAAGTGACTTCTGAAATTTTTTGCATGAATTTTAACCTCATTAGAAAAAATATATGCGTGCATAGAGCAATTAGTCACTGAAAATTCATGATTTTTAACTTCTTCAAAAGATTAGATTTGTACAGAGTGACCCTCTATTTTTGCATAAAAACTGATCCTAAAAACTCATTATATATTTGAGTATATACAGTAATCCATTTTGTTGATACATTTAAATTTATCTCTATGATTTCAAAAATGTTTAAAAAATAGTTTGAATCAATTAATATATTTAGAGATTAGTGACAGATTTGTTTAACCCCTAAACACAAATCTATATCATTAGAGAAAAAAATCATTCTCTGTCCATCATACATTGTCTATGGGTGACATTATATGTAATGTGTATATTTATGTCTGTGTTACCCATTAGGGACATTTAATATATACACAAGCATATGCACAATTTGACTATGTTTAAAATAAGATGTTAGAATAATACATTCCCTACCCACTCAGACCTAAGTTATTCTAAGCAATAAAAGTTGGAGACAAAAAATATTTAAACCCTTAAAAAATAATTATAAGACTTTATTGAGCTTTTCAGAAATTTTTTTGCAATGAATATAATTATTTTAATTTTGTTTTTTAAATTTTGTAGAAATATTTTTTAGGTATTTCATTAAAATATAAATGTAAACACACAAACATATATATGCATACATAATTTGAATTAAATTGAAATTGGATGTCTGTGTTACCAGTGCAAATTTCCCTGTCTGAGAACATCCTTTGGCTAACAGGAAAAGAGCATAAGACAAAGTGTGAAACCTTCTTTCGTAAATGATACTGAATATATTTCCTAATAAATATAATATCTTAAATGGACAATTCAATTATCTTGCCATGAGCAAAGGAATAAAGATAAATGAGTATAGAATCAAAACTAAGTCACAAATTTTACAAATTTTAAATTTTGTTTTCTCCAAAATAAAAGTTTTATCATTTTTGTATTTTTTTAAACTGAAATTATCAAGAATAAAAAATTAATACATAAAAATAAAATAAAATAATAAAATGCAGAAGTTCTTTTAAGAATTCTTTCACAGAGAATGGTTTTGTCGAAAAGGTTGCCAAAAACACAATGGTTCATTTTAGTCAATCTATTGTTATATTTGTAAACAATGAACAAAGCATGCTTTGCAGGGATCAACAGCCTCCTTTTGAAACCCATGGAGGGTTTCTCACAGATGCTCAAATGTCATGAACATATTTAGACATTGCTCTGGCATTTTCATGATTCCCAACAGTTCCTAATCTTGATAGATATTAGATTATGTCATTGTGTAGTCCAAGTGATTTGCCAAAAATGATGTTTTTAACATTTTGAAACCATTTTTGGATTTATTTTTAACTAACAAACGTGCATTTCTCTTGGCAAATGCAACTTCACAATTCAATTCTTCACTCGTTTTGGGTTTAGCTGTTCTTGAATGTATAACAACTTTCTTTGTTTTTATAACTTTTTAAAAGAAGCTTGATGTTTTCCTGGGTTGTTTCTATCATTGCCACACTTGGTTCTACTTCAAATAACATAGAGCGTCTGCTTTTATCTATCGGTTGTTCCTACTGCACAGAGCTTACAGTCAAATCATGTTGAAACACCAGTTCTCATACAATCACCGAAGTTAAGCAACATCAAGCGTGGTAAGTACCTAGATGGGTAACTGCTTGGGAATACCAGATACAGTCAGCTTGGATGTGCAGGAGGTAAAGGATAATGGCTCAGAATCGGAAATTCCAGTTCCAGTCTGGTTCCTTATATTCACTCACACGTAAATACTCTATGGAAAAACTATGAATCAACCTTTTCTCTTGCCCCTCCCCCAGGACTATGGGTTAATTAGCAGGATATATAAGTAAATCATTATTATCTCCCAAAAAATTCTTAAAATCTAAAAATATTTTCTGGCTTTAAATAACATGCAAAGGGTTGATAAGCCATAAAAAAACAAATCAACCAAGTAATCTGTTTCATAGTTTACATGTCATTTGATAACATATCACATGAAGATCTCCTTAACACTTTAAGAAAGCTTGATTTATAAAGAAAATATATTTAAATATTCCATAACCTTTACTGAGAACAAACAGCTTATATGTTCATACACTGATTGATTTGTTTGTTTTTTATGTCTTATCAACCCTTTGCATGTTATTTAGAGCCAAAAAATATTTCTAGATTGTAAGCATTCTTTGTAGATAATGATCTACAGATAAAAGCCCTACTAATTACCCTATAGCTGAGGGGAGAAGAGGTGGCTTCATACCTTTCCCAAGTGTTTTTGTACATAAGTGAATATAATGAACCTGACTGGAATTGGAACACGGTTCTCTGATTTTCAATTCTGAGCAGTTATCCATTACACCACCCACACATCTAAGCTTACAGCACCTGCTATTCCCAATCTCTATTCATAGAGAAGAGAAAATACAATTAGAAAAAAAGTCAGGTTTGTTATATTTACTTACATGCAAATAACCATCGGAAAAGCATGAATTCACATCTTCTAATCCAGTTATGGATTAATTAGTAGAACAAGCAGTAGTAAATCATTATTATCTTTCAAAAATTCTTGCAATATAAAAATATCAGCAAAGTTAAGCAACATAGAGTCTGGACAGTAGATGGGTGATGGCTTGGGAATACCAGCTGCTGTAAGCTTGGATGTGCAAGTGGCATAATAGATAACAGCTTCAAATTGGAGATTGGAGAGGAGAGTCAGGTTTGTTGGAGATTGGAGAGGAGAGTCAGGTTTGTCGGAGGTTGGAGAGGAGAGTCAGGTTTGTCGGAGATTGGAGAGGAGAGTCAGGTTTGTTGGAGGTTGGAGAGGAGTGTCAGGTTTGTTGGAGGTTGGAGAGGAAAGTCAGGTTTGTTGGAGGTTGGAGAGGAGAGTCGGGTTTGTTGGAGGTTGGAGAGGAGAGTCAGGTTTGTTGGAGATTGGAGAGGAGAGTCAGGTTTGTTGGAGGTTGGAGAGGAGCGTCAGGTTTGTTGGAGGTTGGAGAGGAAAGTCAGGTTTGTTGGAGGTTGGAGAGGAGAGTCGGATTTGTTGGAGGTTGGAGAGGAGAGTCAGGTTTGTTGGAGGTTGGAGAGGAGAGTCAGATTTGTTGGAGATTGGAGAGGAGAGTCAGGTTTGTTGGAGATTGGAGAGGTGAGTCAGTTTCGTTATATTCGCTTACATGCAAATAACCATGGGAAAGGTATGAATTCACATCTTCTAATCCAGTTATGGATTAATTAGTAGAACTTGTAGCAGTAAATCGTTATCATCTCTCAAAAAATCTTGCAATATAAAAAAATTTTCTGGATTTAATTAACCTGCAAAAGGTTGATAAGCCATAAAAAACAAATTAATCCTACAGCTATATTTTTTCTTTCTTTAATAGTGTGTCTTTGTTCAAACTCTCCTAACCTAACCTAATAGAGGTATTTATTTCAATATTAAACAATCTACAGCCTGATCAAAACTCAGCAAGCAAATAGTTCTTTATAGAACCAATCTTAACTGGGAGAGCCAATATGCAAATTTCAAATCAACCATATATATTGTCTACATTGTTTTAAAAGCAATCTTCTGATCTTCACTTAAGATACTTGTGTGACTCCAATCACAAGTGGGAAATGTTCTAAGGTAATATGCTTAAACATTTATAGCAAACTTAATGACTTGGTAGGTAAAGAATTTTTGAGAAAAGCATAATCTATTTTGAGAAAGAAAGTGGTTTTGTTATGTAAGATCAAATCCTGACAAGTCTAGACCAAAATATTATGATATTACATGCAATAAATACAGTGTATGAGGCCCTGTCTGGAACATATACAGACATTTTGAATATCTCAAGAACTGCTTGTGTAGCTTTGATGTAACTTGGAAATCAATTAAAGGAAGCCTTACTGCACATGCATAAGCAGACATTCTTCTGTGATATTAGTTAGTCAGGAGTGAGATATCACTGAGTGAGCTTGTGTATTTTGTGACTCTTGCATTCATGCAAATATCCATCAGTTTTATATAGACAAGGTATGTAAAAAAGTATTCAGCCAATTTTAATATCTCAAAAGCCGGTTGTGTAGCCTTCATGCAGTTTGCAAAATTACTTCAAATTTATACAGTAAAAGAAACAAGTAATTTACTAGGCAAAAATCTATAGAAGCTGCACTGATTTCTGAGTCTCCTGCAGTCAATTTGAGTTCACATTCATACAATATTTCACTTTCCTTAAAACACTTCTGCTGTTGAAGCAGATATTTAAAAACAACAGTGATAAAAACAAAATTACAAACACAGGGAAACTGATTGTGGTCAACTAAACTGTGTAACAGGATATTTTGGACAACATAAATTTTAAAATTTAGCACCCATACATCTTTAATTGGGACATAATTATAACTGATTTAAGTTTATATTTTCCCCTCCTCTACATATGCATAATTCCATCAGTAAGAATATTACATTAGTTTGATGAAGTCCCTTTAGAGGACAAAACATGTTACACAGTTTTTTCGATTTTATCACTGGATTACCCAATAATTACTGAGGTTGTCTAATGACCATATTCCTTGATGAGATATGTACACTGTCCTGATATTATTCTCAAATACTGACTAGATTCTTGAATTTACTTGATTTATTGGTATTTTCTACTGAATATATTCCTTGGTGATATACTTAGATATATTGTACTTAGATTTTGATCAGGATCTTTGATTTATTTGAATTATTGATATTGCCAACTGACCATATTCCTTGACGATATATATACACTGTTCTGATATTGTTCTTAGATATTGACCAGAATCTTTGATACATTTGAATTCCTGATATTGTCTGCTGACCATATTCCTTGATGGTATTTGTACATTGTTCTGATATTGTTCTTAGATATTGACCAGTTTTGGGGATTTTATTTGAATGCCTGATATTGTCTACTGACCATATTCCTTGATAATATATGTACACTGATTTAATATTGTTCTTAGATATTGACCAGGATCTAAATAAATACTTGTAAATTGTATCATATATATTTCTACTGCTATATTTATCTTTTTCTTCCCTATTAATTCTGTTTTCCTTTTCTTTAAAATGAAAATCAATATAAAAGAAATATAAAGGAATTAACACTATATAATTATAAAGAAAAAAAAATCTTTTCATATTTGCGTCTTTGAGATTGTGTACTTTTTATAAAAATTCTTTAGCCGTTATTTATTCATGCCACATTCTTATATAGACTTTAATCTCCTCAAATGTCATTTGCTGATAGTTCTTCAATCTACCATTCCACAAGATACTATTCATCTCTTTTTTTTACCCTCATAGTGTCTTTCAATGTCCTATTCACATTAAAACTATATTTCTAATGAAGAACTGTCTGAAAATTCTGTACATTTTTCTTTTTCTCTTTTACTGACAAGATGCAAGTTTATATATTCCTCCCAAGTAATTTTCCTTTAAGTATTTCCATCCTCTTCTTGAAGATTAAAGTCAGTTATCAATGTGTACAGCTGATAGTAGTGGTATAATATACAGGATGATTGAAAAGTAACTCCCTATTTTATGTATGATGGCTTCTTCCATCTACCTATAATATTTACAAGATGGGAGAGTCCATCATACATAAAATAGGGTGTTACTTTTTAATCACCCTGTACATAGATCGAAAGTACTTGGGTAAGGAAAAACTACAGTACCTCCCTTGATGAGTTTCATCTCAACATCAAGAAACTGGGTAGAGATCTAGAAAGGATTATTATAAAAATAAATAGGCATAATATATCTATATTATTGAATGAAACATATTTGAATGAAGATGTGTTGCCTAAATACACACACACACACACACACACACACATACATATATATATATATATATATATATATATATATATATATATATCAGGTCATCCAATAAGTTCTGTCTGAATTTTGAATAAAGAAAACAAGTGACCAAATGTTACATTTAATTACAGATTCAATCAACAATGTATTTTCCCTGATTATCTATGACTTCCTTCCATCTATTAACAAGCTTACTAATTCCATTACCGTAAAATTCTTTTGGCTTTGATTCGAAGAACTCACAAATGTCAGTTTTAACCTCTTCCTGTGTTACAAAAGCTGTTTCTTCCAAATGATTCTGTAAGCTACGAAACAAATGGTAGTCTGAAAGAGCAAGATCAGGAGAATAAGGTGGATGAGGAATTTTCTCCCAACCAAGTTCTTTGATATTTTGTGACGTGATTCTTGCTGTGTGTGGCCGCGCATTGTCTTGATGAAACATCACCCCTTTTCGATTCACTAGAGCAGGTCTTTTTTCCCTCAAAGCTTGGTTCAAATGCTCTAATTGCTGACAGTATATTTGAGCATTAATTGTTGCATTAGGTGGTAAGAATTCAAAGTGGATTATTCCTTGGCAACCCACCAGATTGAAAGAAGAACCTTTTGCCCATGAAGTTCCCTTCTTGGCTGTGGTTGGGGTCCTTCCCCTTTACCAAGCCACTGTCTATGATGCTTAAAATTTTGATAATAGATCCATTTTTCATCACCAGTCACAAGTCTATCTAAAAAAGGTGAAACAAGTTGGCGAGAATGAAGAGAAGAGCAGATGTCAACTCGGGATTTGAGGTTGTTTTCAGACAATTCATGAGGCACCCATTTTCCAAGTTTAGGAACTTTTCCAAGTTGT